TAAAAAGATAATTTAGTCTTGTGACTTAGCAGTTTGGAAATTAAAGAAAATCCTTCAAAGGTAAACTAAATAGAAATTTAGTTTCTATGTGGTGGTAGTGTCAGGGGTGTGGGGTGGGGAGGGAGCAGATAAAACTCATCTTTTAATACTTTCTTTCAAACCTCTCACAGCTACTCTCTGTTTCTGGTCAGAGTCCACTTTTGTGTGTGGCCCAACCTGACTGCTCCTTAGATGGGATAGATGCTATCAAGGACTTTGCCTGCCAGTTACATACTTGGTGTTGATGGTCCATAAGGAAGTCATGTGAGAGAGTGACGTTTGCCCTCTTCATAACCATGACTTTGACCCTTCTCTGATTCTCAGAAGCTAATGTAGTGATGGACATGGTAACTACTCTGGCGCATTTAGCTTCTACCACACCCTGTCCTTTCCATCCTCCTCCTGGGTTGTGTATATCTTTATTTCATGGATATATGCAAGGCTGGGGCCAGAATGTGTATCAGTTGATAAAAACATTACTTTATGCAAATAATTATTCACTTTTGCTTTTATTCATGGATTAGTATAAATAAGGATAATTTAAGACACATAAGATACATGATAGGAAATTCAGAATGGAGAATATATGTATTAAAGTGTCATCATACTGAAAGCTCTATTCATAATGTTCATGATATCCAAAGAAAAACAGTGGTTTGTTTCATTATTTAAAGTGTACACCTGCAGAAAGATGTCTAAAATATATTTTCACCAAAACATTTAAACAGTTAAATGTGATTCTTCCGGAAAAGGGGGAATAATAATTGACATTACTGTTTTTGTTTCTTTAATGAATACTCAGTTTATCCTAGGCAGCGTACTTATAAGTAAGCACTTTGCATGCATTATTTTATTCTAAATGACATAAATTTTACATTATCATCCCATTTTCAAGATGAGAAAACTGAAGTTTAGTGAGATTGAATAACTTGTTTGGGATCCTATACATATTAAGTCGAGTAGTCAGAAATAGAACCAATGAGTTTGACTTCAAAGCCACTAATCCACCATACTGGACTGAAGATCAGAATGGGAGATGCACCTACTGGGAAGTAAATTTCAGGTCACATTGTGAACCTCTCTGGATATTGGTGAAGTAGCTTCCCATGAAGGAGTGACTTCCTTCCTCTCCCCATTCTGATGATAACCTTTAGGATTTAAAGAGACTCTGCTTATGGGAACCGTCCACCTAAATGACCTCCTCTCTGTTTTGGTTGTGCTATAAAATGTTTCTAGCCATATTTTTTTTTAAAAGGGTTTTCACATGAACCCTTTTAACTACAGATATTTATTTATTTATTTATTTATTTATTTATTTATTTTAAAAGATTTTATTTATTTATTCATGAGAGACAGAGAGAGAGAGAGAGAGAGAGGCAGAGGGAGAAGCAGGCTCCCAAGGAGCAGGGAGCCCGATGCGGGACTCGATCCCAGGACCCTGGGATCATGACCTGAGCCGAAGGCAGACGCTTAACCATCTGAGCCACCCAGGCGCCCTTAACTACAGATATTTAGATGGTGAAATATTTGACCTCTTTTTTTCCTTCTCTGTTCATTTTATTTCTTATAAAAATTCACAACCCTAATTGGAATAAGTCTAAACAGAAAATTAATATTGAAGAGAAAAATCATCATTTTACCTTCCTTTTACAGAGCATTAGCTTTGATTAAAATATTTGTTGAAAGAGTGAGTGAATTTGGGACTAATCTCCCACATCTCAGGTCTGGATTCCTGAAATATATACTGTTCTTACTGTCATCAATAATTGGGAGATAATTAATTTTAGCTTTGAAAACGTGATTATTGTCTCTAGTCTAGTACACAATTTCGTTCATATTAGTCTGTTTGTAAGACTCTAGTGTACCTCCTGACCTTCAGTTATGTGAAAGGAATTAGTGAACAATATAGCAACACATTTTATTTAGTTTATAAAGTGGAGTTCCAAAAATTGTTCCCTTAGTCAACTGAGAGCAATATGTTGGAAGAAAACTCTAGAAACACACATATGTAGAGAGCATTTAAAAGTAATCCTAGGAAGGGAAGGTTCATTAAAGTCAGGGTAAGTTGATTTTTATTTTCATTTGATTTTTTGCCCATTTATTTTTAGAAACAAATAAGGAAGATTCAAGTATGCATAGAAAAAAATTACTCAGTATTATATAAAGTTACTTTCTAGAAATTTTTAATCAATTTCCCTTTCTCTGAATCAGACTGTTGGTACCATTTAAACACAGTATGATGCCAAATGAGTAGGCAGTTTCTAGTGAATATAGTCCAATGATTTCTCTCCCTTAACATCTTGAAAAGTGTAAAAAGAGTTATCCTGTGAACCACTCAGCACATGTTTGCCCCTGAAATAGTTCAGCAGTGGCAGTAGTAACATTTTTATTGGCCATCTTTTCAAATAGCTTATAAGTGGGAACTATTACTGTGTGGAAAGAGAACCTTTCTATTAGGGAAAACCTTGACAGTGAAAACTTTCTTCTACCTGGTACCAGATCCCCTACTAAAGGGATCTCCTACTTAGACTCTATACCAGACCATAGCTCTTTATACATTACTTTTATATTCACCTTGTTCTGTGCTCCCACCTCCCCTCAAAATTTTCTCTATCCTTAGAACCTGCATTTGCCTTTATAAATATAAGCTTTCTATGTATCCTCTTACTTAAGGTATGATTTTTTTTTCAAGTTTCATTTTTATTCAGCTGTAGCACTGCATTCCTCTAAGCCATCAGAATTTCCTCTGGACTGATTTGCAATGTGTTTGGTGTTTGCTAGCAAATGTGGGACATTTCAGTTTGTGTCCTTTCTCCACATGGTATAAGATCTAATTACCACTCAGCATGAAATAGCAGTTGAAATGAAAAAGGCAGCAAGAAAAGGCCCTGGCTTAACTTAGAGCTAATCGACTTCCTTCTTACATACTTCTCAGCTGCAAAGAGAAAGGGAGCTAGCACTCATTAAAGTAACTCATGTATTAAACATTTTTTTTTCTCTTCCTTGATTTTAACTGAAATGGGGGATTTGTTCAAATCTTTATGGAAGCAAGACATTAAACAACACTTTTAATTTGCACTAGTAGTGGGTATTTACCCCAAAGATACAAATGTAGGTATCCGAAGGGGTACGTGCACCCCAATGTTTATAGCAGCAATGTCCACAATAGCCAAACTGTGGAAAGAGCCAAGATGTCCATCGACAGATGAATGGATAAAGAAGAGGTGGTATATATACACAATGGAATATTATGCAGCCATCAAAAGGAATGAGATCTTGCCATTTGCAACGACGTGGATGGAACTGGAGGGTGTTATGCTGAGTGAAATAAGTCAGTCAGAGAAAGACATGTATCATATGACCTCACTGATATGAGGAATTCTTAATCTCAGGAAACAAACTGAGGGTTGCTGGAGTGGTGGGGGGTGGGAGGGATTGGGTGGCTGGGTGATAGACATCGGGGAGGGTATGTGCTATGGTGAGCACTGTGAATTGTACAAGACTGATGAATCATAGATCTGTACTTCTGAAACAAATAATGCAATATATGTTAAGAAAAAAAAGAAGAAGAAGATAGGAGGGGAAGAATGAAGGGGAGTAAGTTGGAGGGGGAGACGAACCATGAGAGACGATGGACTCTGAAAAACAAACTGAGGGCTCTAGAGGGGAGGGGGGTAGGGGGATGGGTTAGCCTGGTGATGGGTATTAAAGAGGGCACATTCTGCGTGGAGCACTGGTTGTTATGCACAAACAATGAATCATGGAACACTGCATCAAAAACTAATGATGTAATGTATGGTGGTTAACATAACAATAAAAAAATTATTAAAAATAAAAAAAAATCCTGAAAAAAAAAATTGCACTAGTAGTCACCAATGCTTCCTTAAACTGTGCAAAATATTTTCATCATCAGGGTTGCTAAAAGTAGTCCTGTCCTATTTTCTTGACATTTAAACAGATAAAACAAACAACATTTAGGGGACTCAAATAAAATCAAATGAATGATTAATCACTTTTTATAAAGCTTAGAATTCTACTCAATTTTGAGCTTTTGGATGCTGAATTTGTCTTAAAAAGAACCTCTAGATTTATCTTTAAAGCATGTGTCATCTTAATATAGTAGTTTTGGGGCTTTTTATTTTCTGGAGTGAATGAGTTAGGTAGTTAACCTATCAGGAGGAAACGATTGATATCTTTACTTTTTAAATTACTGTGGTCTGAGTTTTCACTTATCAGATTATCAAAAATTTAAGAAGTTGGATAATATGTGGTGTTGGGCAGATATGGAAAAACATCTACTCCACCAGTGTTTGGAGTATGTATTGTTACACCACCTCTGGAGGGAAAGCGCCTTCATCAAAAATGGAAATGTATATACTCTTTGACCTGGCGGTTCCACCTCTAGGAACCTGTTCTTGAACACGTATGTATAAAAATGTTCCTAGTGATAATATTTGTAATATAAATAGAAAAATGCAGAAAAGTCATTAACAGGAGAATGTTAAACAAATCATGGTATGTCCCTATCCAGATACCTCATTCTTTTTGATAGCTGCCCTTAAAGAGAATGAAGTACACTTGCATGTATTGATTAGGAATATTCTATAAGTTATCCTATTCCATGAAAGTAGCAGATAGTTTTCTTCTATTTGTGTTTCAAAGAGCAGAGGCTAGAGATGTGTTTATACAACTTCTCTCCCTCACCTCCCTCTCCCATAAGCATATATTCACACATCTATAGATAGATAGATGGATGAAGGATACAAAAGAAACTGTTAGTAGCATGTATATCTGGTGAATGGGACTATGGGCTTGGAATGGAAGGCGGATATTTTTGGTGGGGGCAGCATACTTTTTTGTGCTATTTGAGTATTTTTTTTTTTTTTGGCATGTGTATTTATTATTTTTCAATTAAAAAGAAATTTTAAATTAATGACCAGGTCTACTTTTTTCTGTTTTAGGACTCAGCCCAGGAGAGTGTTATCACTCGAGATATTCATCGTACATTTCCTGCACATGATTACTTTAAAGATACTGGAGGAGATGGCCAGGAATCACTCTACAAGATCTGCAAGGTAGGGCCCTCCACCTCATTTTTTCTAACTTCTTTTACAGGGCCATATTTTAGGAACCCATCTTAAAGACTTTTAGATTTTTTTCTGTCTTTATTTCTTATTTGCACTGTGCCCTATTGATGCTGGACAGCCAAAGTCCCTTGCCAAGAACTCTTCTTGCATGAGAAAGAATTCAAGAGCAAGGTGTTTAGAGAAAGGGACAAAGACTTATTAAGTGTAGAAGTAAGAAAGCTATTTCACAAAGTAGCGACCTCTCATCCTAGGTGAGGAAGAGGACCCTCTTTGCCTCTAATGAAAGTTTTAAGTTTTTAAAATTAGCTAATGGTATAAGGAGGGGCTTACTCTGTAACTTCGGGTTTATCATTTACATTGGGTGGTTAGTTTTTCCATTGTTTTAGGGTTGCAAAGTTACCTACAGGGAGCAATTTGAAGAATGTTGAGCTTTTACGAATGTCGAGCTTTTAGTGCTGGAGGGAGTGGAGTTTTATGGTTTTCCATGAATCAGATTTTGTGAATCTTTTTATGACCTGCTGGCTTTTAGGTTAAGGGTCAGCCTAAAACCGAAATGACTTTACTTAGGTCAGCTTGTCTCCTGAGTCTCCCTTCCCTCCTGCCTCAGTGTTCTCTGCTCAGTACTGAGTCCTGAAGGCAACTTCTTGGCTGTGTGTTCTATGTATCCTCATCGGGGAGGGGGTGCGGTAAGGCCTCATTTTGGCTCTGCTGCTAACACAAAAGGAACAGAAGGTCCTCTCAGATGACGTAGTGAAGGCTCAGAGGAGTCCTGAGGACTGTCTTTGGAGAAGATAATGTGACAGTTGGCTCAATTTTTGGACAATACATAAGGGTAAGAAAACAATGTGGTTTTTAAATACTAGCAAGTTCTCTAATATTATTGGTATATTTTAACTTATGTCACATTAGACATCTTCATGCAGTTTTTGTGTCCCATTTTTAAAAATCTTTTCCCTCATTATTAATAAGCCTGGAAGAAAACTTTTTTCCTGATTTTTAGTAAATATGCTCTACATGGATATAAAAGATTCTGTTTTTGTTAGTGTTAATATAGTTTGGGGGCTAGATTATTAATTTTTTAGGTTATATCAAATTAATTTTTTAAGGTTACATCAGAAATGCAAAATGACTTTTTAAAATCATTACCTAGAGTTAACTCATACTGTCAATGCTAATTGAGGCCAAAAGCTAAAAATTACAAAGTTTTGCCCTTTATCCTCAAATTTAAGATGCCTTATAAAATGTGGTGGACAACTCAACATTATCCTCACTCCCCATTACAGTAGAGATTATTACTGAAGATGAACTACACAAAAATCTTGTAATAATATGAAGAAAAAGCAAATACCATGGCTAACTTATGTTACATAATCAGTTCCTGAATAATCAAATTTATCCTTTTATTGAGTAGCAAAATTGGCCAGTAGATATTCAGAAGTACATATCGGAGTTATTTTATATTTACTGATTTTTTTTATATTACTTAGAAAAGTACTTGCCTGCTTGTGCTAACCAAGTAGGACTGATGCTTCATTCTGCAAATGGCATAGCCTTCATTAAAATCCTTCTTGCATGTTTGTGGTTTAGCCCTCTGCCCACTCCTATTTTATCTTGTCTTTCTTTTCTTTTCTTTCCTTTTTTTCCTTCTCTCTTGATGTAGCCGTTTGGAAGATTATAAACACTGATCAGAAATCTCTTTTTATATGGATGTATCATTCAGAGCTAGAAATGCATAAATAACTTAAAATCTAAGAGTGTACTGACTTCTGGAAAGTAATACATCATCTAGTTTTAAAATATGCTACAAACCATTGAATACCATTACAAATGTATAACATATTCATTATATGAGTGTAAAAGGCAAAAGTAATTATTAAAAATTTTTTCTACCAATTTTGAAATTCTGTAAGCTAATCAGCTTCTGTCATGTGTAGGGAAGATGTCAAAATTTATGTAGTTTCCTAGTTTATGGGGAAGGGTCTGACATGATATATGGGAGAACATTTTCCCCCTCACATTCAACATATTTTCAGCCAATCAGTAACTTTTCCTTCAGTTTTTCTCTGGCTGATACTAGGAAGTTTTTTCACATAACTAAAACAGATGGTTTTATGTGCTTTCAGCCTCTGACTTACAATTTTGCTCCCTTGTAATAAAAACAGTATTCCCCTCATTATACAATATTTACAGGAGAAATATTTGAACCATTACCAAACACAAAGATAAAATTTAAATAGTTGGTACATTTAAGTAGTTGATATCTTTGATATTACAGATAATAATCCAACCTTGCTTTGATATTGCAGATAATAATCCAACCTTGAATTTCATTAGACAGTACTCCTTAGTACATTCACACAGCTCATGTAGCCATGTTAGATTATCAATGTATATTTGCAACATGATTAGACAGTTTTAAAGCTCTTTCTGAGTAAAGAATATTGCAACAATGTAGCTCTAAAATACCTTATAACTGCTGAATATTTTAAATTACACTGCATTTTGTAAAAATGTGTTGGGGCGCCTGGGTGGCTCAGTTGGTTAAGCAACTGCCTTCGGCTCAGGTCATGATCTCAGGGTCCTGGTATCGAGCCCCGCATCGGGCTCCCTGCTTGGTGGGAAGCCTGCTTCTCCCTTTCCCGCTCCCCCTGCTTGTGTTCCCTCTCTCGCTGTCTCTCTCTCTGTCAAATAAATAAATAAAAGCTTTAAATAAATAAATAAATAAATAAATTTTGTAAAAATATGGAAAACGAATCATATTAAAAGCATTTCAGAATTCAAGGTAGTAAATAAAAGTTGCTAAAGCTTATAATGTTGTACTAAAATATATATTACCTAAACGTGATTTTACAACACCCTTAGATATTGGGGAAGACCAGAAATGAATATATCAGAATATGTTGGAGAAACGAAAATTTGCTGTGTTCCTAAGTGACACAATTCCTTCTCTTCTTGATCTATTATTTAGTAGTTCAGGGCTCATGCAGGGAAATCTCAGGTGGTGGTGATAACTCACAAATAGGAAGCATACTTAATGATACTTTAGAATTGAATATTCATCTCAAGTTTGTGTATACACTTTCCTTTGCTTTTTCTATCCAATTTGAGCTATAGTCTTTCATTTTAGGACTTTCATCCCATATCCCCAAAAGTTGCTCTATGTAAGAAGGCCACTGAATGTGGTCCACCTGTTCTATCATTTTTATCTCTAGAATCATATCCAACATCATACCTCACACTCTCAGCAATATACCTTTGAATTTCCATCCTGGATACTTTGCACAAACCGGAAATATTACTAATACCTTGATTAAAAAGGCTTCTTCTTTATCAGTTCTTTTTTTTTTTTTTCCCCTTAATCTTTTTCTTGTCTTACTGCACTGGCCAGAACCTCCATTATAAGTGTTAAAATGAAGCAATCATAGTGGACATCCTTGTCTTGCTCCCGATTATAAAAGAAATGCATCTAATGATTTACCACTAAGAATGATATATCTTATTCACATTAGCAACACACTTATAGACCTTTTTTTATGCAGTGCCTTCCATCTGTTATATTAATTTCAAATTTACAAAGTACTTTCACATATATTACCTCATTTATTTCTGACAACTTCTTATCACTGGAGCCTATACTAGAAATATAATATGCTGTGCTCTTAAATTGAGACAAATTATTAAGAGAATTTCAATTATAATAAGTGTGGATATCAATTTTGGTTTCAAGGATACAGAAGTCTGACTTTGTAGTTGAAAAGTTTTCTGTGGCTCTGGTGAAATGAGAAATGATCTGAACTGTCAGATTAGAGGGAAGACTGTTAAAAACTTGCTGTCATGTTTTAATGGCCCTGTCAATTTCCGTTTTTGCCTCTTAATATCTTTTTCAGAGTAGGAGGAAATTGAAATGGTTCAAAGATTCTCCTGTTGTCATAAATTTATGTGTGGAAGTTAAACTGAAAGTGTAATAGAGTTCACAGGATTCTGAAAATGAAAAGTTTAGGGGTCTCCTACCTCCCTCCATCCCTCCCTTCATCCTTCCTTCCTTCTTGTCTTTCGTATTAGTCAAGTCAGTAACATTTTAAAATAGTGTCCTTGAAAGGAGGAAAAAAATACTAGCTCCCCAAGTATCTTTAGCACTTTTCTAGTTTAAATATGATATAAAATCTATTTTGAGTTGGGAGACAGGTTGGCACAGTTTAAAGGACTGAACATCAGGAAATCTGGTTCTTGATTCTTTTCTTAAGCAGACCTAAGACTATGGGAAAATCACTTTTTGGATTTCCTCCTCATTAAGGCTATGGGGTCTGATATGATTATACTGATTTCCAATTCCAATTCGCAGTGATTCTTAAGTGTTTAAATTTTTTTTCTTAAAATATAACAGATGAGTGCAGAACTTAACAATTCCTGTGTCAGGAATAATATATATAAAATATAGCTCTGTCTCTCAATACCAGAGCTATAAGTGAGTATGAGTATGATTTAACATTGAAGACTTCACCTGGCTTTCTGTCGTCTTTGGGTGTGTGTTTCATGCACACATGAAATGGAATACATTTAGTGATTTACTTTGAGATACACATCTCTTTAAAGACCTAAGACCAGTCAGTCAGTCAGTCAGAGTAATCAGTTAAAATATTGTTCACAACAGTATAGATGGAAGAGACTCTTGGTGTGCACTTTAATTTGGGGCATATTGCCTTTTCTAATTTTCTTATTAGAGCAACTGTTTTCTGAAAAAGAGTCTACTGTTGTGAATTGAATGGAAGGAATTGAATATATTACATAAAGATCAATACCTTTGTTCATCTGGGTTAATAATTTGATCATATAGTGGTTTGTGGAAGGACAAAAATAAACTTAATCCTTGTTTTATCAAATATTATTCTCAAAACTAGATTGGATTTAATGTAAGAACTAAAACTTTTCAGGTATTATTTTGATACCAGTAATGAGTAACCTGCTACATGATTTTGAAGAATGCAAAT